AGAGAGAGAGAGAGAGAGAGAGAGAGAGAGAGAGAGAGAGAGAGAGAATAAAGTCAACTTTTTTAAAGGATGGAATGTAGAGTAGCTTCTTCCTAGGTATCAAAAATTGAAATTAGAGAGTGTGGGACTGGAGGGATGAGTCAGTGGTTTGTAACACTGGCTCCCATTGCAGAGGACCCAGGTTCAGTTCCCAGCACCTACATGGTGGCTCACAACCACCTATAACTCAAGTTTCAGGGAATGTGATGCCCTCTTCCCTGGACATCAGACATCTATGTGGTACACAAACATTCATTCAGGTCAACACTCAAACATAAAAGAAAAGTTAAACTTTAAATAAAAGTGTAGGCGACCACGTACATGCATGGAATGAAGAAAAGGCTCTGGCAAAGCAGAGAGTCTTGTCTCGCCTCTGGTTTTTGATATCACTAACTTTGCATTGACCAAGTGCTGTCTTTCATAGAGTGTTGCGTCTGCCTTTACTTAGTAACTTTTCTTCTTTGCAGATCGGTGGCCTCTACTGGCCACACTTAACTTTCCACAGTCTGGGCAGGCTCTCCGAACCTTCAGATGCTACCCCTTGGGTTAACTAGTTATTCTGTCTGTGCTGGGGAGGGATGGTGTCTGCCCCATGTGTTGGAATTGTGAGAAGTACCAGGAACTGTACAGACAGAAGAGCTGTGTATTAATCACCCTAGAGGAGGGAGGAACCTACAGATGAATATGTGCACATAAGCACAGTGAGGCCATAAGAGGGCATCAGATGCCCTGGAACTAGAGTTACAGGCAGCTGTGAAGCCTCCCAACTCTGGTCCTCTGCAAGGGTAGCAAACACTCTTAACCACTAAACCATCAGCCTTTGAGTTACTTCTTATCAATGCATTGCCTTATGCTTTTTATGTACTTTTCACGTGCCCAAATACTACCTTTGTAAATTTCTGAAGCTCTTTCTTTCTGAATTGAGGTTTTTTTTTCCCTTATTCTGACTCTTTTCCTTTCCTGAGTCCCCTGGAGCCACCTTCTACTCCACCATCTTAATCAGAAGGCTCAAGGTAGATTTAAAAGCAAGGACTAGATAAAGTCATTGCCTAATGATAAGAAAAGCTACTGTGCCAAGGGTCTTACTTGTAAATGCATTACACATGCATTTATTTCTGGTTATTTATATAGTTGGTGAATTTTTTTAATCTATGGTTCTCCAAAGAAACCAAACCAATAAACGTCCATATATGTATGTACCTGTGTTCTTGTACCTGGAAGAGATTTACCAAAAGGAATTGCTTCACTCTAGTATGTGTAGGATTTAGGAGACATGGAGGTCTCTGTGCTTACAAATAAGCATGTGTCACAGTGGGGTGGAGGTTGGGGGAGTGGACCTGGAATGTTAAGAACACAAGGCTATTCTTTCAAAGGAAGGAATAAAATACCTGTTATCCTCTCAAAAGGTTAGGAGCAGATGGACCTTCTAACCTAGTGATCTTTGTACTTTCTATGTGGTTGGAGACAACACTGAACCCTCTCCCAAATCTTAAGCTTGTTTTTCTCAGTTAATCTATAGAACCTACCTTTATGGAAGGCATCACATGTGCTTTACAAATAGTTTCAATGTAATCACATCCAATATTTATTTAGTGTACACTGTGCTTTATTATGTACATGGGATTGAGTTAATTATCACCCGGAAAGTGCTGAACCCAATTGACCCCTTTACAGACCAGCAGAGAGATGATCCACAAGAGGCAAGATGGCTCGGTCCAACATGGCTCAGTGGCCAGCATTGGTTCAAACTTTGAGAGTCTGACCCTGAGTGGTTTGTTTTAGCCATATTTAAGCACAGCACAATTCGATGATGGTCATGGAGCTAACCCTCTAGAAGTGGGAGCCTTAGATAAAACACTTTATTTTATAAATTGCCTTGGTTACGGTGGTTTAGCACCGCAATAGAAAAATAACTGAAACAGGCCTGGAGAGATGGCTCAACCGTTAAAGGCTAGGCTCACAACCAAAAATATAAGAGTTCGGTTCCCAGCACCCACAGCTGTCCCTCCAGGTATTTATATATTAAAAAAAAAAAACTGAAACAGTAAGTCAGCAACATATTGAAATATTGGTCAGCTGTAAACTTTTAGTTTTTTTGTTTAACTTCCAAATACCTTTCTTTTTCCTTTGCTTTGGAGAGTTATTTCTGCCAAGTGTAGGACTCTAGAGTAACAGGATTTTTTTTTCTTTTTATACTTCAAAGATTCTGCTCATTTGCATTATTTCCAATAAAAATATGATTTCATCTTTGTCTTTTTTTGCACTGTAAAAAATAACTTGTAAGTGATTGGAGACATAAATGTAAAAATTAAAAGTATAAAACTCTTAAATGGAAACATAGGTGTAAATTCATAGCCTTGGGTCAAACAATGGTCTTTTAAATGTAGCACCAAAGCCACAAACGAAAAACCAGAAAGCTTTCATAGTACCAACTCCCTGCTGGCTAGCTTTCCTAGTAATCACCATCTCACTCATTGTTGGAGGAGACCCGCTTGTTTCCTGCGTGCTCAGGCTCCCAAAAAAGCATACAGAAACTATATTATTTACAATACTGTTTGGCCAATAGCTTAAGCATATTGCTATCCAGCTCTCACATCTAGAATTAACCCATTTCCATTATTTTATATTTTATCATGAAGTTTGTGGCCTATCGGCAAGGTTCCAGCTAGCAGCTCGTGCCTTTCCTTTCTGGCAGTTACATGGTGTCTCACTGACTCTGCCTTCTTTCTCCCAGCATTCAGGTTAGTTTTCTCGGCCTAACTCTACTCTGCCCTATCACAGGCCAAGCCAGCTTCTTTATTCATTAACCAATAAAAACGATACATATACAGAAGGATTTACCACACCAACTCATATATGAAGCCTGTGAGTTACCTCCATCAGCTTCACAAGACATACCCATGCATGCAACAGTGGTATAGATGATGTGGGAGTAAAAAACTGCTTTCTGATTGGCTTAAGGATCCACTCCATAGGAAGAAACTCAAGCCTGGTACTATAAACCTAGCCAAGAAACCATCCTGCAGAGCTCACAGGACCTAAAGAAAAGCCTATTACTATTAGTTTGATAAATTACAATAGTATCAAATGATCTTCTAAATAATTCTCTATACCCACAGATTCACATTCCCTGTCAGAGAAATATCTCTTTGCAATGGACAGTGTCCCATAGCAGACTCACAACTTACCAAAATGCAGACAACAAGTGTGGAGTCCTCGGCCTCAAATGAGACATCTAGACCACACCCTTGCCCCCAAAGCTTGGGTAACAGCAGAGAAAGTAAGGTTTGAAAAGCAGAGCTCTGGAAGGTCTGCCATGAGACAACGTCTTCTTAACATGGCAGGGATGTTATACTTGTGACCTCGCAGAAGCAATGGTTGCCTTCCAGGGCTCCCAGCACTCATCATTCCAGCATGGCTGAGCGATGGACTGTCCACAGCTGAGGAGCCATTAGCGGTTGACAGATGCTGATGGAGGAAGAGTCATGTTCTTCAGGGGTGAGTCATCTGGCCAGTTGACCATGTTCTGGTAGATGGCTTCACACCCATGCACATTTGAGTAGCGCTAATTTTGTACTTGGTGCGTTATAGACAAGGAAGAGGACATGAAATCAGGATGGGAACATAATGGGGGATCCAGGAGGAGTTATATATGATTATAATCAAAATGCACCATATACATTTATGAAAGTATCAAAGAATAATTTTAAAGGAACATTACTCAGAAAAAATGAAAGACAACCCATGGAATGGAAGAGAATATTTTAGATGACTCATTTAAAAGAATTAGGTACGTATCTAAGAATCATTATATATGAAAAGTTCTTACAATGCAAAACAACAACAAAAAATAACCTGATTTTAATTGACAAAGGACTTGGTCTTTTTTACAAAGACATACAAGTGGCCAATAAACATGTTGTATGACTCTATCTCTATAAAATTCCAGACTAGGATAATCTATTAGAACAGAAAGTAGGTTGGTGGTTGCTTAGGTTTAGTGGGAAGACAGAAGAGAGAAGAAGTCAGAAATAATAGCTAATGATGCAGGAGTTTTTGTTTCATTTACTGACATTTTATTATTTTATTTATTATCATGTGTTGTGTGTGTGTATGTGTGTGTGCATGTGTGTGCGTGAATGCCATGGTATGTATATGGAAGTCAGAGGACATCTTGTTGGGGTGGGTTTTCTCCCTTCTTCATGTGGGTTCTCAGATCATGAGGCTTGGTGACAAGCGTCTTGACCCACTGTGCCATCTCACTGGATGTATGGAGGAAGATCCAGTCACAGGGTTTTCTTCAAGCAAGGCAGGTAACTTCATAACTCTGTAAGGCAGAAATCAAGCAGAAGCTCAGGACTTTACCAAAGGAAAGGGCAGGCAGTACATGTACTAGTATAGCCATCGTGATCTACTAGAAGGAGTCATGCAACTGATAGGGACAGGTGCTGGGAAACACATCTGACTCAGCCAGGTATAGCGTCTTGGGCTTTGAATTCCAGCACTTGGGAGGCAGAGACAGGGGGATCTCTGTGAGTTTAAAACCAGCCAGATCTACATAAGCCAGCCCAGGCCAGCTAGGGTTACCCATTTCATATGCATATATGAATGCCTTGTCCACCATGAGGAACTGTACCTCTAAACTGTGAACTAAAGGAAACACTTTCTCCCTTTAAAAGAATACATCTTGGAGCTGGAGAGATAGCTCCGTGAATAAGAATACGTACTATTCTTGCAAAGAACCCTAGTTTGCTTCCCGACACCCACACCGGGCAGCTCACAAATGCCTTTAATTCCAGCTCCAAGTGATCTATCACCCTCTTCTGGCCTTCACAACCACTTGCACTCATGTGTACACATACACAGACACACACACACACACACAATTTAAAATTAAGAGTAAATCTTTTTTAGAATGCATCAGCTTTGAGATTGGTTATCTACTTTGTAATATGGTGAGCTGTACACCCCAGAGGATGAGGGACCTACCCTGGGTGGAGGTCGCCAACACAGAGACATCAGTGGCAGGGACAGATGACTGTCATGTCAATAGGGTCCTCACCTGCTTCTCAAAATGGTTCTTTTGTCTCCACCACTGTCAAGTCATCAGCTGGGTCCTTGCGCCGTACAGAGTTCTTTGAGGTTGGCAAGTTTTTTAAACGGGGGAGTTTGTCCTTGTACATGCTCCAAAGCCTTCCTAAACCCAAAAGCATAAGCTCCAAGGAAGTAAACAAGAGACAGGCCCCACTAATCCCAAACATGGTGTTGAGGAGGATGGTCTTCTCAGAGGGGTGCGACTGGAAACAGGTTGTGCTGCCGATGCAAGGATCCTCACGACATAGAAAAGTGCTGGGCATCTTGAAGCCATAGAGATGGTATTGAAGTCCCAGAGCTGCTCCCTCAAGGACCAGCCGCGCCCCAAGCTGTGCCACATAGGCCCAAAGAAGCTTGAGGCTTCCAGTCCCTGAGACATCCTTGCTGCGATCCCCCTTGCAAATCCGAAACTCTTGTTCCTTGTTCCCTTTTTCTGGTTCCTCCCAGTATCCAATCACATGATACATAGTGAAACCCATATAAACCACACTGGGTACAGCCATCAAGATGACTTGGAAGGCCCAGAAGCGCAGTGGAGAAAGGGGGCGGAAGACATCATAACATATGGTCTTGCAGTCTGGTTGTCCTAAATGACACATGAATTCGTTCTCATCATCACCGAAGACCCCAGGTCCACTGGAAACCAGGAGCAGGAGGCGGAATCCCACCAGCACCGGAAGCAGGAAGCGCCCCACGGGGGTGGAATGCTGGCTCTCCTTAGCCAACAGCTGCCTCAGAAACTTGCCACACATTCTGCCACTGAGCAGAGGACAATTATCAGTAAAGGTGTCTCACTCACTGCCCTTTAGGGGAGGCTTCATCCTGTCTTGTTCACCTGCTAATCCAAGGATTTGCAAAGCAAGCTTTTTTGCTCCTCACCAAAGTTAATAAAACACCATATAGCCTGCTTTGCATGCCTACAAGGCAATGCCTGAGGTCATTACCTTTATAAACATGAAAAGGTTAATTAGCTCACAGTTGTGAAGGTTTGGACTCCAAATGCCATAGCACATACTTGGTGAAGGTTACTCATTGAGAGAACATGGCATGTCTTGGACAGCAATGAGGAAGAGAACACATTGAGCAAAAAGTTTTCAAGGAGGGGGGAAGATGAACAGAATTCCATGATCCCTTTCAAAAGTATATTTTCATGGATTGGGGGGGGGGGTTTGACTCAGTCAGTAAGGTACCACAGAAGTGTGAAAACCTAAACTCAATCCTCAGAACCCATGTGAAAATGCTGAGTGTGGTGGTGTGGACTTGGAATCCCACTGCTGGGGAGGCAGGGACAGGAGGATCCGAGCCAGCTGCAGAGCCTCCAACCAGCAAGAGAGCTTGTCTCAAAAAGTAAGGCAGATCACTCCCAGAAAACGACACGTCATTGAGCTCCAGTACACACACACACACACACACACACACACACACACACACACCAAAAAAAAAAACCATGTCTTCAGTGATTTAAAGACCTCCCATTAGGCTCCTCATCTGTGTGTGTGTGTGTGTGTGTGTGTGTATGTCAGGTGTGTGTGTGTGTGTGTGTGTGTGTGTGTGTGTGTGTGTATGTCAGGTGTGTGTGCATGCCTGTCCATGGAGCCCAGAAGAGGGCATCAGATCCCTTTCAGCTAGAGTTACAAGTGATTGTGCATCACCAGACATGAACACTGGGAATCAAACCCAACTCCTCTAGAAGAGCCACAAGCACTCTTAATCACACCATCTCTCTAGCCCCAAACAACAGTTCTTTCAGGTCCACAGCACCCTCTAATATCACAACCCTAAGGGCCAAGTCTTCTTGTATGGATGGACTTCTGTGAGCACACTCATCTAAACCAAGTTAATACGGAGTTTCTGGTTGCCCTTATTTACAAGGAAAAGAAATGTTAAGTGAATAATACGAATCTAGGTAGGTGTCCTAGTTGCATTTCTAACTGAAAAAAAAAAGCTTAAAGAAGAGGGAATTTACTCTAGCTTACAATGCAGTTTACAGTTCATCAAAGCAGGGACATAAAGGTGGCAGGAACTTAAACACTGCTCACATCATATCCACACTCAAGAGTGATATAGATATGAATAATTTCATTGGTATGGATTTTAAGGTCAATTTTGTTATATGTATATATATTTCTGATCTTGACTGATGTATTGTGATTGTGTAGTTCATTTTAAAAATGTAATGTATAATTAGAAAATATAGGTTGTTAATGGATAATCATCGATAATAGTAAAGCTTGTAGTAATGTTAGTCTGATTTTCTAGAAGTGCATAGATATATTTCAGATAGACATTCATATCTTTCAAAGACTACAGTGCATGGCATATAATGCTTTAATAACTTAGAACTTTTCATGACAATGAGACACGTCTGCTCCTGGCAGCACCAATCTACTTCAAGAGGAAGATGGGCATCGAAGAGGCTCCTTATGGAGTTGGTTAACCATTTGGGCAAGAAACTGCTCTTGCCTGGACTGTTATATAAACTGGACACAGAGAACCTGCAGAGAGAGGACTGCTGAACTTGCCTAAAGGTGAGATGATATTTCGGAGTTCCTGATTCATGAAAGAGTCTGCGAGACATTCTGCAGGACACAGCAGATAGTGACTGAATTGCCTTTGAAATTTCCTGCTTCATGAAAATGTCTCTGGATATTATGGGCCTGAAGGCTGAAGATGGGTGCCCCAACGATACAGAGGAACTTTGGGTGACTGTCCAGGCAGCGAGATGTCTCTGTCATTTCTAGAGTTTTGGAAGTTGCTTACTTCTTGTTTACTTAGGTAATATATCCTTCTGGAGTCTTTGATGGAGTTAAAGAATGGATAGTCGTAGTTATAGTTTTCCATTATTATGATAAAGATTTAGTTATAAATATTGTGACTGTAATTCTTGCTTGATAACTGTTTTGTTATGTGTAATTTTACTATGTTAAAATGAAAGCCTTTCTTTTTTTGTTTAAACAGAAAAAGGGGAAATGATGGAGGAGGGTTATCTGTCTATTGTGTTATTTTCATTGGTCAATAAAGAGACTGCCTTGGCCCCTTGATAGGACAGAAAATTAGGTAGGCGGAGTAAACAGAACAAAATGCTGGGAAGAGGGCTATGAGCCAGACGCCATGGAGCCAGCCACCAGGTCAGACATGCTGAATCTTTCCCGGTAAGCCACACCTCATGGTGTGATACAGATTATTAGAAATGGGTTAATCAAGATGTGAGAGTTAGCCAGTAACTAATTCTCTAGAGATAATGGGCCAGGCAGTATTTAAATGAATACAACTTATGTGTTATTATTTCTGGGACTAAGCTAGCCATGCAGGAGCCGGGTGAGGTGAAAAGCAGGCCTGCCCGCAACTCCTCACTACACAAGAGCAGAGAGAAGTGAAGGCTTGCAGGCTTAGTGATCAGCTTGCCTTCTCTACACTTACATAGCCCAGAGCCCAAACCCAGGCAACAATGACACCCGCTTTAAGGTTGGGTCTTCCCAAACCAATTCAGGCAATAAAGACAAACTGCTTCACACACACACACACACACACACACACACACACACACAGAGAGAGAGTCTGATCAGCAGATCCTCATTGAGACTCCCTTCCTAGTTGGTGTCAAGTTGACAGTTAAACTTATCACCACAGAGGGCTAGAAAGATAGCTCAATGGTTAAGAGTACTTGCTGCTCTTGCAGAGGACCCTGGATCAGTTCCCAGCACCCACAATGGTGACTCTCGACCATCTGCAACTATAGTTCCAGCAGATCCAATGTTGTCTTCTGGATTCCATGGTGGCATGCATGTGGTGCACATACCTACATGCATGCAAAATTCACTCACACACATAAAATAAAATAAATCATTTTTTAATTTAAAACTACCACAACATGTATCGATTAGGGAGCTGAAAAGCAATGGGATGAAATAAGCAGAGTCAATGTCAGCATTTACTCTAGTCTCGTGTTCTTTATACCTTACGATCTTGGAAACAACAATTTTCCATAATTAAATGCCATAGGGTTTGGGGGCAGAGCACAGGAGTTCAAATGTCTAATCTCTGTTCTTTAAATGTTTATCTCCCTCATGATGAGGGGTAACTATTATTGAGGATAAATTTCAGAAAAAAATCTCAGTTCTCTGGCCATAATACCAAGCTTGCTATCTTTATCTCTGCCTTAAAAGAAACCTTCTTCAGTGCCCAAAAGCTGCTTCCAGCCATAGCCATATCTGACCATCTTCCCTTTCTCATTCTCTAATGATTATGTTCTGTGATCTAACTGTTGGAGTCCTCCCCAAAGTCAGATGCTGATATGTGGTGAGGAGTTAACTGTGTGGCTCAGTGGTAGGACCCCTGCCTAGAATCCCCCAGTGAGGGGCTGAGGTGTGGCTCAGTGGTAGAGCCCCTGCCTAGAGTCCCCCAGTGAGGGCCTGGGGTGTGGATCAGTGGTAGAGCCCCTGCCTAGAATTCCCCAGTGAGTTACTGAAGGTACCTGCTTACCATTCAAGAGGCCCTAGATTCAACCCCAGAACCTAAAAAAGAAAAGCAACAAAAAGAAGAAGAAAGGTCTTTAAGTCATGAATGGGGTTGAACGGGTTTATAAAAGATATTTGAAGGAGCCCTTCAACCCCTTCCATCAATTGATGACTAAGAGACATCACCATCCATAAGGAACAGGTTTACAACCAACACTTTATCTGCTAGTGCCTGCCTCTTGGACTTCCCAGCCTCCAGACTGGGAAAAGTAAGTTCTGTGGATTATAAATTACTCCTTCAAAAATATTCACAGCAGTTCTATTATACTAAGATATTATGCAAACTTCTTATTCCCAAAAGCTCCACAGATGATTCTTTATCTTTTTCCCTTTTACAGATGAGTACTGTATTTACATTTCCCCTGACTCCTTCCTACTTTGTCCATGTCCCTCAACTCCCTCTCAAAGTCATGGCCTCTTATTCTTTAATTGCTATTACTACATACATATGTGTGTCTATGTGTATACTGTTGAGTCCCATATGTATGTATGTTTAGAGATGGCCACCTGGGGTTAGATAACCTATAAGATCCTTGCTCATGCAGAAGACTAATTCGCTATCTTTTGGAAGCCATCAATTGCCTGTAACTCTATCTAGGAATGTGGCCTCATGAGATTTCCCCCTTCCTCAGTGGCATATAACCCGGTATTGTCATTTTTCAGGTCTTGTTTAGGCAACCGTATTGTTGAGCCTTCTTGGGCTCATTAGAAGTCCTGGTCCTCTGACTCATCTCGTCTTTCTGCCCCGGTCTTGTGAAGGGTTTCCTGAGCTGTAGGTGTAAGGCTATACTGTAGATGCATCAACTGGAGCTGGGCACCCTATAGTCAGTGGCTCTCTGCATTATGACCAGTTGTATATTTCCATCTGCTCTCAAAAGAAGTTTCTTTAATGACAGGTGAGAGCTACGCTTAGTTGTGGGTATCGGGATAAGTATTTAGAATGAAGGTAGAGTGAGGGGAACCCACAGTTGCCACCTCCCTAACCCAGTGTGACTACTATCTCCAACTGTCTCTATTGGCACACACGCACACGTGCCCTCACACACCTGGGGGAGGGGCACACACACCGTAGCATGCCCAGAGAAATCAGAGGACAAGGCTGTGGAGTCAGTTCTTTCCTCCCACCTTCCCGTGGCTTCAACAGATCAGACTCAGGAGGTTAAGCTTGTGTAACAAGTGCCTTTACCAATAAGAACCTCGCCATTCCTCCTTTCCCTGTCTTAGTCTTCCTTCTTCTATCTTCAAGAAAAGTGGTCCTACACCTGTCAAATACCACCATCTTTTCTGGAGCTGGCACTTCAGGCCTCTCCTTTCCCACTACTGCCAACATTTGAAGCCCAGATTACTGTCCCTGTAATTCAAAACCCACTCCCTAATTTTGAAATAGCACAGTAGGTAAAATGCCCCCCATGAAAGCATTTGGGTCTCAGTTTGGGTATCCAGCACCCACATAAAAGCCAGGCATAGCTGCATTTTTCTGTAACCTAGGGCTGCTGAGGAGCAGGGCAGGAGGAAACAAGGAGAAACAAGCGAATCCCTGAAGTCCATTGGCCGGCCAGCCTAGCCAATCATTAGTGAGCTCCAAGTTTAGAAAGCACCTCTGTCTCAAAAAGTACAGTGAAGACCAATCTGTGAAGACCCTAAAGTTTACATCTGACCTCCATGCACATGGACATACAGTCATGTGAAGAGTTACAAGCACCAGATACACACAAAAGGAGGAAGGGAGGGAGGGAGGGAGGGAGGGAGGGAAGGTGGAAAGAGGCCTTTGGCACAAGAAAGGGGATTGGAATTCCTGGGTCTTGAGGGAGGTTGACTCCCAGTTTACTGAGAAACCGCCACACTGATTTCCACAGTGGCTGCACAAGTTTGCATTCCCACCAACAATGGATGAGAGTTCCCCTCTCTCCACATCCTCTCCAGCATAGGCTATCATTGGTGTTTTTGACTTTAGCTAATCTGACCGGTGTAAAATGGTATCTCATAGTTGTTTTGATTTGCATTTCCCTGATCGCTAAGGATGTTGAGCATGACCTTAAGTGTCTTTTGGCCATTCAAAGTTCTTCTGTTGAGAATTCTCTGTTCAGATCAGCAACCTATTTTTTAATTGGATTAATTAGAGTTTTAGTATCTAGTTTCTTGAGTTCTTTGTTTATTTTGGAGATCAGGCCTTTGTCTGATGAGGGGTTGGTGAAGATCTTCTCCCAGTCAGAAGGTAGCCTTTTTGTCTTACTGACAGTGTCCTTTGCTTTACAGAAGCTTCTCAGTTTCAGGAGGTCCCATTTACTCATTGAATCTCTTATTGTCTGTGCTACTGGGGTTCTACCTAGGAAGTGGTCTCCTAGGCCTATGTCTTGTAGACTACTTCCCACTTTCTCTTCTATCTGGTTCAAAGTGGTCAGATTAGTGTTGAGATCTTTAATCCATTTGGACTTGATTTTTGTGCATGGTGATAGATATGGATCTACTTTCATTCTTCTACAGGTTGGGAATATACCCAAGAGATGCCCTATCATACCACAAAAGCATTTGTTCAACTCTGTTCATAGCAGCACTATTTGTAATAGCCAGAACCTGGAAACAACCTAGGTGCCCCTCAATAGAAGAATGGCTAAAAAAGGTGTGGAACATATACACATTAGAGTTTTACTCAGCGGTAAAAAACAATGACATCTTGAATTTTGCATGCAAATGGATGGACATAGAAAACGCTTTACTGAGTGAGGTAAGCCAGACCCAAAAAGAGGAATATGGTATGTATTCACTCATAAGTGGATTCTAACCATAATTAAAGGTCTTTGAGCCTATTATTCGTGATCCTAGAGAAGCTAGATAAGAAGGTGAACCTAAAGAAAATTTATATAGTTATCCTTCTGGATAATAGAACTAGGCAAGATTGCCAAGCAAAGTCGGGTGCATGGGGGGTGGGGGGTTGTTGGAAGGGGAGAGGGTTAGAGAGAAGGGAATAGGGGAGGAATGGGGAAAGCTCGGGGGATTGGGATGGGGGGAGGGAAGAAGGATGGATATGGGAGCAGGGAAGTATATATCTCAAATAAGGGAGTCATTTTAGGGTTTACAAGAGACTTGATTATAGAGGGGATCCCAGCTCCAAGGAGAGGTCCCCAGATTATTCTCTGGACAGAGGAGAGGGTGCCTGAACCGGCCTTGGCCCATAACCATACTGATGAATATTTTGCATATCACCATAAAACCTTCATCTGGCGATGGATAGAGATAGAGACAGAGACCCACATTGGAACACTGGACTTAACTCCCTAGGTCCAAACGAGAAGCAGAAGGAAAGAGAACGTGAGCAAAGAAGGCAAGATCAGAGGGAACCTTCACCCGTTGGTGGATGGAGATTGAGACAGAGACCCACATTGGAGCACTGGACTGAGCCCCCAAGGTCTAAATAAGGAGCAGAAGGAGGGAGAACATGAACAAGAAAGGCAGGACCGCGAGGGGTGCGTTTACCCTCTGATACAAGCGGACTGATCTAATGAGAGCTCACCAAGGCCAGCTGGACTGGGACTGAACGAGCATGTGATCAAACCGGATCACACGGATCACACCAGAGCACGGGGTCTTTCTAAGAAGTCATTGACAATGACACTGGGACTTGTTTCCTCTGCATATACTGGATTCTTGGGATCCAGTCTGTTTGGATGCTCACCTTCCTGGACCTGGAGGGAGTAGGGAGGAACTTGAACTTCCCACAGAGCAGGAAACCCTGACTGCTCTTAGGGATGGAGAGGGAGGAGGAGAGGGAGTGGGGGGAGTGGGAGGGTGTTGGGAGGAGGGGCGGAAATGGAAACTTTTATAAATTAATAAACTTTTATAAATTAAAAAAAAGAAAGGCGATCGGTAGGAAAGAGAGGAGGCAAGAGAATGTAAAGGGCAGTGAATACAAGAAAAAGCATGATATACATGGATGAAAACGTCATGAGGAAATCAGTAATTATGTATTATTAATGTAAGCTAATAAAACATTTCTAAAATCCATGCTGATTCTAAAGAAAATAAACTGAGACATTAAATAGGCATTCTTGGAAAAATAAAATTTAAAAGATAGAATTAATAAAGTAACAAAATGACACAAATATAGAACAAATTTGGGGTGTTTTTTTTTCTTTTGAAAGTCAGGACAATAATAATAAAATGTCCGCTACGGTTTAAATATCCCGAATTCAATAAACCTAAAAATCTCAAAAGCTACAAAATCGGAAACATTTTTACTTTCGTGTGTGTGTGTGTGTGTGTCTGTGTGTGTGTGTGTGTGTGTGAGAGAGAGAGAGAGAGAGAAAGAGAGAGAGAGAGAGAGAGAGAGAGAGAGAGAGAGAGAGAAATGGGGGTAGGATGCACTGCAGCTACAGCGTGAATGCAGAGGTAGACAACCCCGATGTCAATCCTCACCTTCCGCGTTGGTTGCTTGAGGCAGAGTCTCTTGTTTGTCACTGTGAACGCCAAGCTACCTAGCCTATGAGATTCCAGAGATTCTGTAGTCTCCGCCCACCCACTCACCACAGTACTGCAGGGATTACAGACATGCACTACCACGCCCAGTTTTCATGTGAGTTTTGGGGATTCTAACTCGGGTCCTCATGCTTTCACAGCAAGCACTTAACTCACGAAGTCATCTTCCCAGCCAAGAATCGGAACTTTTTTGAGTGCGAACACAATAGCACAAGTAGGAAATTCTCTCCTGACTTCCTGTGGTGGCTGCGATCAATCCCTAGTTCACTGAAACAATAGGAAAACGGATGAACCAGAAAATCATCATATTAAACGAAGTAGCCAAGGGCCAGAAAGACATATACTGCACATTTTCTCTCCTAGGCACGTCCCAGATCTTAAGTTTTACGGATGTATACCTATGCGGATATGGGTCATGAAACTAGAAAGAGGACTATACCTAGGGACCAGAAACATCAAATGAGGGGAAAGAGGTCTTAAGACAGTGAGGAAGAAAAGCAGAACAGAATAGGTCTGACATATGGAAGCAGAATGGGGGCTGATGAGAGGACAAAGCCCAGCAGAGAGGGCAAGGGGGGACTGAGGGAAGAAACAACAATAAATCAAAGTATGCGTGAAAATGCCATAACGAAACGCATTGCTTTGTATGCTAATTTTCAGAACACAAGTAAAACTGAGGATGTAGCTGAGCTGGTGGAATGTTTGCCTCCCATGCTCAAGCCCCTGGGTTTTATCCACAGCACAGTATAAACCATGTGTGGTGCCCGCCCATAATTCTAGCACTGGGGAGATGGAGGCAGAAGTTCAAGATCATCCTCAGTTATATGCTGAGTTTAGGGTTAGTCTGGGCTAAATGAGACCGTGCCTCAACAAACAAACAAACAAACAAAGTGTAAGTGAAGCAACAATCACAGACTCAAAATTGAGAAAGGAAAGAAAATCCCAGAATTTGAGCAGATTTTCAAGTACCTAAAGAGATTATTTAAAATCCCATTTGAAATGAGAATTTTTCAAAGCATCTCACCTACTTTTGGTGGTGGTAGGGGGGCTGGGGTGGAGGGGGATGTCAGGATTCCACCAGTGACTGAATACATCCCAGAAAGTTAAGGAGCCGCAGAGGAAAAGAGCCAGTGAGGAGGGAGGAACCTGGCAGTGCAAGCCTAAACGCATTGCTCCCACCTCCTTTCACCTGGCCTGGGATGCATTATAGATGCTTCTCTTCAAAGTGTGGCCTCCAAAACCGGTATGAGCGGAGATGCAGAATCTTTTGCGCAATATCCCTGACTTCTAGATCTTATGTGAATTCAAAGCTATCTCTAAGAATTCATGAATGCATCCACTCACAGACCTATCCAGAACCGAGAAAAACCTCAACGATAGCAGCTACTCTGCCCATGAACTTACCAGTACTTGCCTGGCAGCCCCAAGCAGAAGCGTCAACCACAGAGGAAAGCAGCCAGAAGGGATCCTCACACTGGAGCCTTCAGGGTCCAGACTCCTGGGATGGCCCTGCCTTCTGCAGCCGCCCACTCTTTCGCCTTCTCTTTTTCATTCCTGGCAGGCTCCCTGCCACATAAAAGAATTCCAATTAAAGGACCCAGCCCTCCAGGCATGAACTCTGGAGGAGAGTCTGGTGTCAATGGTACAGGACGTATTCTCTAAGTGAATGGGGATGGGGACTTTTGAGGTCATCTGAACGGAGAGTGGTTTATTATGTACATTATATTGGTTAATTGTCTTGGGATGTTTGAGCTCACTGAGAAGCTGGCTCTGGAAGTGGAACTGTCCTCTCCCATTTCAGACCCAAGTGTGTTTGTCTCGTGTCCTCCAAGGCCCTTTGTCTAGGGAAGGACTGCCTCCCAGACTCTGTGACAGGGAGGGAAGGGAACAACAAACAGTCGAAGAATAAGAGCATTGTAGGGGGGTGGGTGGGAGGGTTGTTGGAAGGGGAGAGGGTTAGAGAGAAGGGAGTAGGGGAGGAATGGAAAAAGCTCAGTAGACCGGGATGGGGGGAAGGGAGGAAGGATGAATATGGGATCAGGGAAGAATATATTTCAACTAAGGGAGTCATTTTAGGGTTTATAGGAAACTTGATTATATATAGGATCCCAGGTCCAAGGAGAGATCCACAGATTGTTCTCTGGACAGAGGAGAGGGTGCCTGAACCGGCCTTGGCCCATAACCATACTGATGAATATTTTGCTTATCACCATAGATCCTTCATCTGGCGATGGATGGCGATACAGACGGAGTCCCACATTGGAGCACCGGACTGAGCCCCCCAAGGTCCAAATCAGGAGCAGAAGAGGAAGAAAATGACGAAGGACTGCGAGGGATGCTATCACCCACTGATACAAGGGAACGGATCTAATGAGAGTTTACCAAGGGCAGTTGGACTGCGACTGAACGAGCACGTGATCCAACCAGATTCTCTGAATGTGGCTGGCCCGGAGTCTTTCTGAGAAGCCATTGACAATGACACTGGGACTAGTTTCCTCTGCATATACTGGATTTTTGGGATCCAGTCTGTTTGGATACTCACCTTCCTGGACCTGGAGGGAGGGGGGACGAACTTGAACTTCCCACAGGGCTTGAAACCCTGACTGCCCTTAGGGACAAAGAGGGAGGAGGAGAGGGAGGGGGGGAGTGGGAGGGTGTTGGGAAGAGGGGCGTAAATGGAATCTTTTATAATTTAATAAAATTACTTAAAAAAAAAAAGAGCATTGTAGCCTTGCAAACAGCTAGAGGGAAAATGAACGGCTGAAAAGTACAGCAGAAGGCACCACTGGGTACCCCATGATACAAAACTACCTAGAATGGGGAGAGCTGGAAGTTGAGACAAGGGGAGCTCAGCCATTGAGAGAAAGCTAAACAGAGAGCTCCAGCTGACTGTCTCGACTTCCCCAGTCAGTGTCTGCTGGATCCTGTGAACACCCAATCTGATGATGCTACTTCTATCTATTATTTGCTCTTTATCTTTTTCTTTTTCTTTTATTTTTTCTTTTTGAGATTGTATTTTAATTGCAATATTTCTCCCTTCTCGTCTCCCTCCAAACCCTCCCACACACCGTTTTCTATCTCCTTCAAATTCATGGCCTTTTTATTTCATCAACTGTTATTGCATACACGTATGTTTTATGTGTACATATATATTGCTAAATATAACCCATAGAGTCCATATAACATTACTAAGGTACATGATTTTTACGGCTGACCATTTGGTGCCGAACAACCATTGGGAGCGCTCTTCCCTGGGAATGGCCTCCTCTCCCAACTTTACTCAGCTACCTGTAGTTCTTTGTGTCGGGTTACTCTTTTCCTTAGAAGCTTCACTAGAGGGAACACCTTGTTCTGCCAAGAACTCTGTCTGTGGGAAACCCCACTTGACTGTGTCTCCCCAGTCATTTCCTGCTGTATGTTTGTAAGCCCCAATTTGATGATGCTCATGTCAGTCCACCTATCACTTCCTATTTTACTTTGGTCTTCTGTATGCTTAACAAACTCACTCATTCAAAACTGAAAGTGTGTCCAAAGAATAAGTTTACTTGTGTCAGAATGTGCCTGTGTGTTGGAAGGAATACACACCAGGTAATGCAAGCCTGGTCAGAAGTCTATGACTGGGGAGGTCATAGCCCTAGTAGGAAACCTACTACTGATATTTTGCTAACCAGACATGTTGTCAATCTGTGGTGCGGGAGAATTATCTGTATTCTGTCAATCATATTTTAATAAAACGCTGATTGGCCAGGCAGGCAGTATAGGCGGGAAAGCCAGACAGGAAGTAGGGGTGGAGCAAAGAGACTGGGAGTATTCTGGAAGCAGAAGCTCTCTCTCAGCCACTCCTGTACAGACCACCGAAGAGACAGCATGTAACCTGCCCAGCTGAAAAAGGTATGGAGCCATTATGGCTAACATAGATCAGAATAATGGGTTAATATAAGTTATAAGAGTTAACAAGAAGCCTGACCCTATGGGCCAATCAGTTTATAACCTTATGGAGTCCTGTGTGTGATTTCCTTTGTTGCTTGCCGGCTGTTGGGGTACTAGGAGGGACAGAAACCCCAACAAGCCGGCCCCACGTGTTACATATGGCGCCCAGACGTGGATAACTGAATCCACAGAAAGCCTGAGAAAGCTTGGAAAAGAATAGAGTAAAGCATGGCTTCTTGGTGGCAGCAATTTCTCAGGTCTACTTTGCTTGCTAGAGGCAAGCAAGCGCTCTCATCTGAGAGAGGCTTCCTGACTCAGCTTTAGCTGCAAAACCTTGCAGCTCTTTAAAGAGGTCCTGCCACAAAACACTTAAATGTTGTTGATGACAAGCTGAACGCATTCTTTTCAGTTTTCAGCTGTAGCAGGAGAAAAGCTGTGCTGTTTTAAAATGCTGGCTTTCTGGGCTGTCCTGCCAGAGCAAACTCTGACTCTTTCAGGCAGGCAGTCCGACTGAGTGTGGTCTGTGAGCAGAATGCTGCAGCTTGCTTGCTAGCAAGGACATTGAAACACGACAGAGTTGTGGCAGTGAACACAGTTGTGGCTGGTATCTCAGCTATGAGTCTGGAAAGCTAAGGAATGAGCTGGATCTAGCTGTCAAAGCCACGGCTTTCCATATTGCTTTGTAAATTAAAGGCTCATGTGGTCAGAAAAAGAGAGATAAACAGTAAAGAGAGATTCAAAGAGGAAGAAAACCTCTAAATGGTTTACAGTGTGTATATGCAGGCTAAAAGTTAAAGTTCTTAAAGTTAAAAGGAAAGAAAGAGAGTAGTTGGGTGTGGTGGTACACACCTTTAATCCCAATGCCTGGGAGGCAGAGGCATATTGACCTCTGTGACTTCAAGGGGTAGAGGTAGATTGACCTCTGTGACCTCAAGGTGTGGTAGTACACGCCTTTAATCCCAATGCCTGGGAGGCAGAGACAGATCTCTGTGAGTTCAAGGTGTGGTAGCATACACCTTTAATCCCAGCACTGGGGAGGCAGAGACAGGAGGATCTCTGTGAGTTCAAAGACAGCCTGGTCTACAGTGTTATTCCAGGACAAAGATATACAAAGATCCTGTCTCAAAAAGTAAAAGTAAAAATAAAAGAAATAGAGGTTAAAATAAAGCCACATAAAGATGGAAAATGCACAGAGAATCTTCATACTGTATGCTTTTATGCTCTCTTTAAATTGTTTGATTGCTGAGGAAGGAGCAACAACT